TTCACGTTTGCTGACGCCATATGGTTCCTTCGGCTCATGGCAATTACCACTGATCAACCGCGATCCTAAGCATCCGACAAAGACCTTCGCCCGCCTGTTTTTGCACAAATATTTTATGTTTTCGAGACAAAATTATACCGTTTTTCTCCGCTTGTGGATGCAAAAATTCGCTGTAAAGACTTTAAAAGGAAGAATATTTCTTCTGAAAGGTAAGATATGTGAAAATTTTAAGTTTTTACTTTTTTATTCGACTAATTCTAAATTGGCAAAGTCATGGGACGATATGCGCATAAATCGAGGAATAAATATATATTTGTCAAACAATTATATTTTATATTTACACCAATGTTTCTAGAGCAGACATAAAAAACGTTGTACATGGTTATTTATACATTGTGTACATACATTTTGTTTCTAGTTTCAGGCACTGGCTTTTGTTTTTAGTGCCAGTTTATTAGTTTAAACAGCAGCTCATGCAATCTGTACTCTGTAGTTTGCTTTTGTTTTATAACGAGAAGTTTATAGCACTAGATTATATACAGTATAAACAAGCTGTATTGTATCCTTCACAAATATTATAAACTGCTAGTCTTGCTACTTGCTAGGTTTTGTATCAGCATTTACCAATTGACTGTGTAGTTAGGGTTTTTTGTGGGGTTGTGCACTACATTTCAGTCAGCATCAAGCTATCGACTTGTGCATACCCAAATTTGCATGATTTATACTTATATCATTCTTACATTGGCATTACCTTGAGTGCTAGTATGGGTCAACCTCTATGCCTCATAAAAATCTCCAAACAAAGAACCTCCTTCACTCAGAAAATACCTCATACCGTCACGGGAGTCTGGATTTATGGTGAGACGAGAAAGCCATATTTATTAGTAGGTCCCTTAGGGGCCGATTACATGGGGAGTTTTCAGCCCGGGCTGAATTTCAGCCCGGTTAACCGAGCTGAAATAGCATCGCGATTACATGGGCAATTTGAACCCGGTCTGAGTTTTAGTCAGAGCTACATTATCCCTTCTAGTAAACAAACCCGGGCTGAAATGTCATCCCGGGATGAAATCATACGATATCACGAAAGGCAATATTCCGCTTGTTTGATCCACAGGTTTGAGCATTTAAAACGCCGATTTGTGGACTATTTGACTTGTGTAAGACTGTGGTTGGATATAAAGTATGAAAGATGAGACGAAACGCAAAATAAAGCCATTTGAACGATTGTTTTTTTTAGCCCGGGCTGAAATTATGTGCGATTACATGGGATATTTCATCCCGGTTGACAGGGCTGAAAATCTTATCCCGGGTGACATAAACCGGGATGAAAATTTCAACCCGGGATGAAATTCAGCCCGGGTTGAAATTTTTTCCATGTAATCGTAAAATTCATTTTATATTGAATTTATAGGGCCCCGGGCTGAAATTTCATCCCGGGCTGAAAACCTCCATGTAATCGGCCCCTTAAGCCGGTTTTCCACTTGCGAATTTTTTCGCGCGAAGCGAATTTTTCTTCATTGTCTTTATCCAGTTAGTTCCAGATGGTTCCAGTTGAGAGACCAAAGACAAATGAAAAATTCGCTTCGCGCGAAAAATTTCGCAAGTGGAAAACCGGCATTAGAGATTAACCCATTGAGTCGCATTGCGCCCTACTATATTATTTTACTCTGTCTGACGCCAGATGATTTTCCTCGGCAAGCGGAGAGTGCTGGTGGTTAATGGGTTAATTAGAATATGTGTCTAGTTAACCTATTGAGTCACATTGTGCCCTAATTAGTATTTTACTCTGTCTAACGGCAGATTATTTTATTCCGTCTAACACCAGATAATTTTACTCATCAATTGGGGAGAGCGCTGGCACTTAATGGTTAATTCAGATTTATACAAGTTAGAGTAGTAGTGGTGCACCAGAGCTAATAGTTTCAAGCCAGAGCTGTAGAGTATGAACTGTATGAAACAGTTTCACACCATAGATTAAAACAATCATAAACAAAGTAACTTTATTTCTCATTTCTATTACAGGGATCAAAGTGATATATGCAAGAACTGAAGCAAAAATGTTCTTGCTGTAACAGCTGTATTGTATCATGATAGTTAACATGGATGTGAGGCCTACTTTGGGGGCCAAGGTCGCCTAATGTCGCCTAATTTCGCCCACTTTCGCCCATGTGCACCCAATTTTTTAAATTTGCCCGACAGTCTATTTGCTTAATGTCGCCTAATGTCGCATAATCTCACACAAGCATGCCCAATTTTGCACTTTGAGTTTGTCGTCCATACTAGTCTATTCCTTATTTATTTGTTAGTTTCTTGCATGTTGTTTTCATAAATACATGTACACAAACACCAAGGGCATGTGCTGTTAGGGCGCCATCTCTCACCAGTATTAATGAGGCTTGGTTATTTGGGGTTTATATGTATATGAATTACAACACATTATTCCTAAGGCAGCCTTCTGGCCATCTTCTCCAATGTGTTTTTTTGTGAAACTCAGTCAATTTAGACAATCACACGCCATTAAATGTTGTATATGAAATCAAACTTAGATCTTATTATCAAAGATACATTCATGATAACTGGCGAGTGCAAAAGTACAGAATACCTCTCACTAGCCTAGTGAAGGACACTAGGTATCCTAAAGGCCGAACGGTACCGTCGGTAGTTATATATATATATATATATGTATTTATATATATAATCATGTATATATATAATGTACATGTATTTATATATATAATCGGTCACGAGTACTAAATACTGCCCGGAGCGCCCGGAGACGCCCAGGAGTGCCCGGGGACGCCCTGAAGCGCCCGGGAGCGTGTGAGAACGCCCGGGGATATATAAGATATGGTATAAATCAGTGCACGATCCTTTTTGAGTCTCTATGAGGCATTATATCAATGAACTTGGAATTCATCTCGGGTAAGTTGCTTTTTGGCCCTGGAATTTCTCAGAAGTAAACAAATTATCCTGGCTATGGAATTCTTCAGGTGTTGGGTATTTTCAATGAGATTTCATCAGGGGTCAAAGGCAAAAATTGAAATTCTATAGGTAACTGCTATTAACAGGAAACCATCATGGGACATACTTTGTTACAGTAGGAATTTCTCAGGGGTACATATAGTAAAACCTTGAACTCGATAGGGGGGTTACCACCGGTACATGTTACTGTATATGGAATAGTCCTATCTATAAATAAAGAAAGTCATCTATAGTATGTTCAAAATACGACTTTGTAGTTTGTAAAATAAAAGTACTTACTTTTCGACGAAGCTACGATGATCGACATCTCATAATTAGGTATAATCGCAAAAGATACAGAGCAATGAACGCACCACAGAAAGATCTACGGTACAGGTTGTTTATATAAAATGTGGCCAAGGCCCGCCTTAACAATTATTATGCTTCCTTACACGAAGTAGTACAAGTTAGAAGCTAAACTAGACGTGCCATGGTATTGCGGGCTCAAATCCCAGCCGAACAAGAACAGGTCTCTGAGGTTTTGGACAAAAGGAATTTAATTATTTTATATTAGTTCAGTTAAAGTAAAGGAACTGTCATCTAATTTTAGTAAAGTAAGTCAGTATAGTTATACAAATGTATATGGATTAAACTTTTTTCTATCTGTTTGCTTTGAAAGTAAATTCTATTTTTTATTGAAACTATAAGATTTATAGTTATCACTATTTGAGATATTTGTTTGCCAGTTTGGTGGGTTAGATTTCAAGCATGGTCATGGTGGTACATGATTTACATGGAACACGTTTATGATAGCTAGCTAGCTGACAATTTATTTACCTTAAATGCCAATTCTTTCACTTCCATCACTGCATACCACAGTCCATAAACAGTTTTAAAACTCTATGAGGTATTTACACCAGTCAATTTAATGAGAAGTCAGAGTTCCATGATACTGTAAATGTACCATGCACTGCATGGGCATGTATGTGTACTACGGTATAAACTTTGAGTAAATTGTCAGGCTAGCAGTTAGATAAATGTTCCTTGTTATTTTTTGATATTTGTAATAAACTAATTGTGTTCTTTGCCACAGGAACCAATTTTTGATAACTAAATTATATTTTGATATTTACTGTTGTATTTTCTATGTATATGCATAATTTGTGAATTATAATATTTGACGTTATCTGGATATTACTGTTCAGTTTTGTCCAATGTCGCCTAATGTCGCCCAATGTCGCTCAATGTCGCCCAGTTTCGCCCAGCGACGCACACTACTTTTCTTTGAAAATTGCCAATGTCGCCTAATGTCGCACAATGTTGCACATAATAACGGCGACCTTGGCCCCCAAAGTAGGCCTGATGTGTATGATCTGATTTGGGTGTAACAATGTGTAGTAATACAGTTTATTATATAAGTACTGAGATTTACTCATTAAAATGACATTGCGTAATAAACGTACGGAATTTTGCCACAGCCAATCAGCGACGCGAACGATGAAATTTCACTAGTGAAACAACATCGTTCGCGACGTCTGATTGGACAAACGATGTTTTTTCACTAGTGAAAAATGATCGTACTGGAAAATTCGTTTGATTTCCACCACAAATTTTTTGGTGCAAAACCTATTTCAATTTGAAAATCAAAATGGCTGCGTGATTTACGGACGCCGTTTCTGTTAACAATTTTATTTCATAACAAGAAAATAACGCTCGTACCTCACAAAAAAACGAACAAGATGTAAAACTATTACTGTATTACACTTGTTTTTGGAAACCAAGAATGAAGAATGAAAAATGGAAGATATTCTCATAGCAGAACTGAACGAGTACGTCACAGTCTGAGTTTATCAATTCGGTCAGAACCAAATACGGGAAAGAATATACGAGCCATCTTCTCTCCGAAGTCTATTAGCAATCTTCGAGCGACATCTTAAGAAAAAACTACCCGGCTGCAAGCATTATCAACGATTTAGCATTTAAGAAGGCATTAAAAACTTTGAAAACTTTAAATACATAGAAATTAATAACATTAAAACTTTGTCATCGTGAATGAAATCTCAGTACTTATATAATAAACAAATAACATCATGGTTGGTTCGCGAATACGATTTTTATTCACTCGTAAATTATTACAAGCTCACTCGTTCGCTGCACTCACTCGTTCACATCGCAACCAAAAGAAAATTGAAAAGAGATCAAAATGCCAAAGTGATGTCACAGCTCATGGGACTACAAAGTGATAATTATACCATAATAACTTGATTATACAGTTAGTTAAAAATGATTGGGTCATTCAAGAAAATATCCACACCTCTAATGGAAAAGATGGGATGTTCAGTTCCCTCCCACCTTTGGAGATACTAATACTTTTAATATTATCGGCATTTGAGTTCTGCCCACTTCAGACAGCACAATTTCTTTCTGTGGAGTTAGTGTTTATCTTTTCTGGAATGACTCATTGGTGATTGGTAGTTAATAATTATTCATTGAAGAATTTAACAATTTCAACTGCGGTATTGTGGTAGATAATTCTGCAATAAACAAGAATAGATAATATAGGTTATCCTAAAAGTGAAAAAGCATAAGAAATCATAAGGGGAAAATGAGGAATACAAAAGAAATATACTATGTTTTCAGACAATGATGCTCAAATTTTGGGGGCAAGTTGAGTGAGCCCTTAAATAATTACATTGTTTGTTCAGAATTATATTTATCAAAAAACTATCAGAAGCCACAGAAACTATAATCTTATGTGTATGACACCAAAACCTAAAAACTAAGAACAAATATAAAGGCCCCAAGCTCTTCGGCTGAAATGTTGAGGTTTAATTGTCTTTGTCTTGACTTATACAGTAGTTGCATCATCCAGCACTAACTGGAACCCCCACCCAAGAACTACAATCATAGTGATTCAAAACTCCTTAACCTAAGATAGATAGATAGTATGGCCAGAAAGGTCCTAGATCCGAGTCTGACAGCAGCATGAGCATAGGCGTAGAGTTTTTGTTTTTTTCTTGGGGGGCTGAAAATTTTTTTTCGGACAACGTCCTCCCCCCCGTCGACAACTTTTTAGGTAAAAAAAAATTCCGGACGAGTACGTTGCAATTGCTTTCCAGGTACTTTATCTCAATTTTTCATACCATATTTCGGTACTTAGCCCAAAAAAACAAATAACATTAACAGCTATTAGTTCTGCAAAACGTCTGCAGGGGCTAAGCCCCCGGTGTAAGATTTCTGGAGGGGCTCGAGCCCCAAAGCCCCCCCCCCCCATACACTACGCCTATGAGCATGAGCTTCCTTGAGTACTGCACCTCTAGCTTTTGCATAAGTTATAAAATACTAATTCTCTTTGTAATTCCCTCAAAATGTAGCGGTACTGTACATTCATGTCATTATATAATCAGTCCCCAGGGTCAAATTAAGATAATTTGAGATTTGTAAAATGCACAGGTTCGTGCCACCTACAGAAAATTATAAATTTTCAAAATAGTATTATTCAAAACATCATAAAATATGCAACAAATAGCATGTAAAACAATTGATCAAAATACCATTTTGCTCACGATTTAAATGAAACGAAAGTTGATTTCTTTGTTCAACAAGGCTTTAGAGACCTTTACATTCTTGTGGCTAAAATATATTACATTGTACCCAACAATTTTTGTAGGAAATTTGCTCGAGTGTGACTAGTGTGTGAAGTTATGAACTGAGAAGTATTTTACCTGTAGTTGCGGCTTCAAATATCGTCTTTGCCGATGTATTTCGAGGTTTTCTGTCTTTTGAGGACGAGAATATAATGTGTACGACTTCCACACATTTGAACCAGTGGTCAAAGGTCCAAAAAATATGAAAAAATAAAAAACTACGAGAGTATACTGCAAAGATTTCAACATGCTAAAATATTTTAATAAGAACCGGGGGGGGGGGTGAAAGTCGTAAGCCTGGTCAGTGGTAATTACCATGAGCCGGAGGAATTATATGGCGTCATTTTGGCGTCAGCAAAGGCCGAAATCCGCCATGTTTTTGGCGACACATTTTTATGCCGAGCAGGTCCTCCAGTAATCCCCGAGCCCACGGCGCGAAGCGCCGAGCGAGGGTACTAATTCCCCCCCTGCTATTTATACCTGGGGAAACAAAACAATTAGCGAAGTCTAAAGTTCATCAAGGAGCGCGGGCGTGGGTCACTAACGATGGTTGGTCCACTAAACTATATAACATGGAAGGCTGACTCATTGATATACACTAAGGCCCGGTTTAGACGCCGTGCTTTTCATGAGCCGAACTTAATACAATGAATTAAGCACATGAGAAGCTCGGCGTCTAAATCAATTAAGCACTGCACTTAATATTAAGCACGGCTAAATTAATAAGTTCGCCTGGTTCAGGCGTTCTACACTGCACAGGGGGTCCAACTAAGAGCTGTGTTATGAGTATGAATAAAACATTAATAAATCGGAATATGAATAAAACATCATAACGTAATATATTTAAATTATTGCACTTACTTGTATAAATCATAAGAGCTTGTATTTCAAGTGAATAGCTTCAAACAAGGCGCTTATATATATGTTCAGAAACATCGCTTGGAAAGATTGTTCAAATATGGCGAATAAATTGACAAAACGAAAATATTACATGACGTACCATCGAAAATAACAGCAGAGATTACGGGCTCGCGAGCGAAAAGGCGAGGGA